TTGAAGCGGCAAGTGCTTTTTATTTCACCCAGGACGGACATGTGGGCTAGTATGTCGTGTCTGATCATTTTGTAATACTACAGTATTCTAAAAGATTCTATTTTCAGCTATAGAAAAGTACCTACCGCTTTGAATGCTTCAGGTAAATCTCTTATGTTGTTCAAAGCTACGCGAGGATATTGCCTCAATGCCGTTAGATTCTTCTTAATGTGACAAATCGCCATGTTGGCCGCCATGTTGTTCTTGATCGGTCCCAGATTACTCTCAAAGAAAGCGTGACACGGCCTCGAACCTAGTTCACACTAGTTCACACAAGATGGCGTCGAAATTTGAAGAAGGTCGCCATTGGGCACAAGTTATTTTCACCCATGACAGCAAACCTCCCGTCCTTATTGATAAAGAGCAGATCACACTGGGCAGGAAAGAAGGTACGAGAACAGGGTACAAAAGGCAATCGAATGTCAGAGATGATTATTTCACCCTTTAATATAATGTATACACGGGAAATCGATCAGCTAGTTAGGTTCTTTATTCTGTATATTATATGGTTAACATGCAGCTTTAGGCAGATCAATTTCCAAGGATGACTTAGAGATAAATGGAATACGTACTTGTATTTAATAAGGGAAAAATGGCGATGAAACCCAAAAGATTTCTTTTTAATATGTTTTGGTTTGGTTTTGTTGAATGTGAGTTTATTCAATACACAGCAATATTCAGCTCTAGCATTCCAATCATGGTGAACTAAATGACCAATTAAAAATTTCTCATAAATTAATTCGATCAAAGTGTTCGAATGCAATAACAAAAGATGGCAAGATTTTCATAAACATTGTAATTTACTCTATACTTCCTTATGCATGCAGTTTCTTGATGAAAGAAACAGTGACGAAACAAAAGTTCACTTTAAGAGTAATGCTCAGCCTTTGTTTAAGAACAGTAAGGGACTACACAGAGATCTTACGTAGAAAATAGTTTGCATTGTGAGAAGCCTCCTGTCATAGCCGTCATAAACTGCAGAACCTCTATTTACAACTTTGCTTTACAACTACTCAATGTTAGTATCAGCTGTGACAGCCATGACATACACTGTACCCACCCATTGCAAGAGAAAGCTGAATCTAACGTTATATCTCATAGATTGTGATATCAGCTTTCCTGGCTGCAAATTTGTATCTGGTCATCACTGTACTATTACAAGAGATCCAGGTGGCACAGTTTGGCTTCAAGACTTTAGGTGACTCAGTAAATTGCTTTTAATTCCATGCAAACTTCTCACAGCAATGATCTATATACACTCATGCATGTGTTAAAACTTGTGTTAGTAACTTACAGCTTTTGTTTTCTTGTTAGTACCAATGGATCATTGTTGAATGGGAAGAAAATTGACAAAGAGAAGGTAATTATATAATAATAGTTTAATGAAGTCTGTGTGCAAAATTTAAAATTACAGGAAGTGACTCAAATTATAAAGAGATAAAGAGATAGACAAATACTGTACATATAGAGTAAAGCCTTTATACAGGCCCAAGTGGCCCATGGGGCCAGCATTAAACTTTGGTTTCCTTTAGCATGAAGCAGCTAGGTGTATTGCTACTCCCCCCTGGATGGGATGCTAGTCCATCGCAGGGTTTACCCCCAGTATATTTTGCTGGTACTCATTTGTACACCTGGGTGAAGAGAAGCACTGTGAGAGTAAAGTGTCTTGCTTAAGAACACAACACAATGACCCCAGCCATGGCTCGAACCTGGATCACTTGACCCAGAGTCGAGTTGACTAACCATGAGGCCACTGCGCTTCCACTCATTGTACATACAGTCTGGGAAATAGACAGATCATGATGAACAGTTCGATAATCAATCATGTAAACAAAAACCATGAAATTTCACTTGGTATCTCAAATAGCTTTACTAGAAGTTGGAAGGTACATGTATTAACCCTTTACACCCTAACATCAGTATGCATATTCTTCATACTGTTTTCTATACATTTCTTAAGGTGCTGACAAGGAGAATTTGCTTATCAATCAAGAGAATATTTAGTTGGTGATAATTTCCTTTATTCTCATGACCTTACTGTGTGATGCAGGGGTTATACTGTTGGGAGAAGTTATATGCTAGTCACTCTCAGAGGTTAAAGGGTTAAAAGAAGAGTGCATAACCAATAAACAATACATGTAGATAAGCTTTGAAGATCAATTATGGTGAATGTCATTATATTGACAGTTAAATTATTGGTGGTAAATTCTGCCACATGGGAGGTCATGATGCTGAGATATGGTCCACTGTTGTTTTCTCTGTCCTCCTGCGCATAACAAGAAAGAGGAAAGCGAAGAGACCTTGGAAATCAGGAGCCCTTACTTTTGTGTTTAATCAATTGTACAGAATTAATAACCTGTCACCTCACCCCTCTCTGCAGCCGCACACCCAACTGATTTATACATAACCTCTACATACACTCAGTCTGATATTATCATTATCATCAATTCATCATCATTTAGTTATTTTCCTTTTTAACAATACAACATTTTTTTACAGCATTATAATTTATAGAAAGTGAGGAGACCCAGGTAGCCACCGGGCTTATGGGGGAGGGCCACCTGACTTACAACACAATAGTTAAAAAGGGAATAAGTGCTGCAAATGTGCGGTAAAAACTCTTGCAATTTCATTGTAAAGCTAAAAAGATTTGACGAACAAGTGACTGAAACAGGAAGAGAGTTCCAAATTTTAAGACCTTGGTAGAGAATTGCTTTAGATTTGTACAACATATCTAGTCATATTTTTCTTACCAGAGTTTGTAATCTGAGTGCATTAAAATTCATGACTTTAAAATCACCTTGTGTCCTGTATCCATGTAACTGTTAAAAATTTAAAATGGGACATTTTGGTTCGGTGGTTTGGGTGCAGGACTTGTAATTTGGAGCTTATGAATTTTAAGTCTCCCTCAAGTCTGTAATTGGGTGAATTCATTGCCTCAGGGCTTCATAATAGGTTATCTAATTAACAGCCCATTTCTACAAGTTATGATTTGTTTATTCCTTGTGTGTCTTGTATGTAACAATAATAATAATAGTACATTTGTATATCGCACACATCCACTACTTGTTGGAGATGCTTTACAAAATTATCTCTAAATCCACAACTTCACTCTAAGAAACTTAGATAATAAAACTAGCTATAAACCTTAAAAGTAGAATGATATCCAATAAATTAAAAATGTAATGAAGAATCACTCTTAGTAAATTTAGTAAGAGGGAAGGTCTTGAGTGTTATCTTTAATGATAAAGCTGTACTAGATTTTCATAAATCCAAGGGAAGTGTTCCAAATCTTTGGAGTGTATACAGAGAAAGCTCTACCACCTTATGTTTTGGTTTCACAATTTGGCTATAGCAGCTTTTCTTGAAAGTTTTGAGCATAGATAACTAGAATATCAGTGGGTAATGTTTTTATCTGTATTAAATTTCCCTTTTTGGGAACAAAGAACCCTCTATGCCACTACTCAGGTGATATGTAATACCCATCTTGGAAGCAAAGGTTCAGTTGCTATTCAAGCCTTGATTACTTGAGGGCCTTACTTGGTGCAAATTAGGCCAATTGCAGTTTTTCTATGGTTATGCTTCTTGTCATTGAGTAATATGTATTTTGACACTTCAATGTAATGATGTAGTTAACGTGTGTACATTTGTTTATTGTTATTGTTTTTTACAAATCCTAGTCTTCCATTAATGAGATGTTTTTCTTACAGAAAATACAGATCAATCACAATGACCAAGTACAAATAGTTCATCGAAAGGATCACCCTGGAAGTGGTAAATGCTTTTTCCTAGATACAAAAAAAGACTCTCATGTAGCTTTGCTGCATAGATAATAAATTGGTAAATTCATGTAACATGAAACCTTTCCATATGATATCCAGGCATACATTATCCAAAAAACAGGTAATGAGAATACTCAATTTTATCAGGTGGAAGTTGTTTTCTTGATCTTTCACCAAATTCTTGTAATCAATTTTTAAGGAAATGTAAAGCAGCTTGAGGGGAAAATCAACAATCAAATCTTGCGATTGAAAGGGTTAAGTGTCCAAATATGTCTCTATTTTTCTAGATATAGCATTTGTTTTTCAAGATTTAAAGGTTTTGAAAGAAGAAGCAAAATTACTAGATAACACTTTGGAGTATGACAATGATACAGGTAAGTAACAGTGTTGCTCAGGTTGTCTAATGAGAAATATTTTTCTTAAAGATAGAGTACAAGACTTCATTCATTTTTGATATTATACATCTGTAGAGGAAGATGTTTGTGAGGACGAAGATGTCAAACCAAGTGAGGCAGCATTTGTTTCTCAAAAAAGGTCTCATAGTGAGGTAAACTAAGATTAATATTATTTGCATTATTATTGTAATTATTGTTACTAGTATTATTATTATTGTTATTATTATCATTATTTTCATAGTTATTATTATTATTATTATTATTATTATTTTTAATATTATTATTACTGCACCATATATGTTTCTTTTATCACCTTAAAAACATTTACTGTTTTTGATTAATCTCCACAATCACTATCAATGACAAACACATTATTCAAGGCCACTATTGAAAAATTGTTTTAGGCATTGTCATTTTGTCCTTGTAAAAATTAATACACTAGCAAATTATTTTACATCCGCATGTAGGAACAGTCTGAAAGCACAAGTATCTACAGTTAACTGTTAGTTAAAATGTACATTTAAGGCTGGAGATACAGATGAAGGACCTGTGTCAAAAAGGAAGCATCAAGAAAGTGAAGAGGGAGCTTCCAGTAGCAAAAAACCTGAGCTTCTTCCTCATAACTCCATTGCTGATACTCTGCTTTGTAGTATATGCCAAGTAAGGTTATTAAGATTTTATCATTCCACATGCAAAGGTTTTTGTTCTTGTAGCCAGCTGAGTGTTTTGCAGATATGCCAACTTCTGAAGATTTTTACTTCTGTACCAGTCTTCCTTACTGATTGTTCCTTTCTTGACCCTTCCTTAAACTACTATATATATTAATTGTTAAATAAAGAGGGTAAGTTTCCAAAGAAACTGTGGTGCTGTGTTGGTGGGAGAGAGTAACAGGGTAATTTGGTATTATAAACTGAGTTGATAATGTAAATTGGCCTCTGTCAAGGGTTTAAAGCTGACATTTTGAGTGTTAGCCCCTCGTCAGAGACTTTTATTGTTGTTGACCCCTCCCTCATGACACCAGAAAGATGTATTCCATTGAAAGAAGTTATAAGTGTTTATGCTAAATATTATAATGTGTTGATTAGCTATTGCTTTTTTTCTTTCAGGACATCTTTCATGATTGTGTGAGGTAAGAGTATCAATACATGCAGCATTAGCATAACATGTTGTTCTCTCTTGACTAAGAAAATTAATGGATTTTCTATTTGCTAGAAGGCTCCAACCCTAGAATAAAGTTCTTTGCTTAATATCTTCTTGGCACACATGCATTTTAATAAATGTTAATTATTATAAAATATAATAATTAGTCTATTTTAGACACATTGATTTGACAAAGTTATAAAATTTGAAAGAAATATGATTTTTATAAGTAAGGGGTATATCTGCCTTGTGATAACTTTTCACCAAAATGTCTGACTTTCTTTAGTTTACAGCCATGTATCCATTCATTCTGTGCTGCTTGTTATTCACAATGGATGGATCGCTCCAATGAATGTCCAACGGTGAGTAAAAGTTTTTTTGAATTGTTTTAATGGTTAAATAATTAAAGGAGTTCGACAGCCTGGTATCCATTGTGCTTGTTCATTGCTGTAAATGGACTTCTCCCGACTGGTAATATTCCATCTGTGAGTACATCTAACCATTCTGCAACTCACATCAAGGCTGGAATTATATATTAATTCTGACTGTGGTTTGCACATAGAACATGGTGATGGAATATTCAAGTCACATCTTGGTCAAGGGTTGTTGTGCCATAGGGTGCCCAGTAGAAGATCCTGATTGAGGGACTTTTTAACATTTTAACAGTGAGCACATGTTGCAGAGCATCAGGTTGCTGTAGGGGAAGTTGAGGGTTTGAGCCCCAGAGCAGGGCACTCAGGGTCTTAAAATAATGATGGAGAATGTGTTGCCTTTGCCATGACATGTGTGTATGGTTAGACATTCTAATCATCTTATCTCCTGCATTTTCTCTATGCTGGTCCTTATGGGATGTAAAAAAAAACCCACAACCTTTTTGCAGGTAACATAGCTCCTGGATTATACAGGTCCCCAATTAAACCAGCAGCAAACACTAAGCTGTTCGTAAACATATTTTCAGCTGCATCTCAAAATATTTGAAAGATAATAAAAACAATGGGCTCTAATTTGCACAGAAATATGCTCGTGTATTTGTCCCTGGATTTATCTGTTCCTCAAAGCTCACAGTTTTCCTCAAGCTTTGTTCTCGGAAAGTATTACATCATAACTTTGTGACATGGTATGCATGTCAGTATGAATTCAATAGAAACTTATCTTTACAGGTATTAATTGTCCATAACAACCCATTTTCAGTTTTCAGAGCTAAGTGAACAATTTTTTATTGAACTGCCTTGTAACCCATCCTGTCTTTCTTTTGCTAGTGTCGTAAAAAGGTTGAAAGAATTAGCAAAAACCACATTATTAACAACTTGGTAGAAGCATTCTTGAAGGAACACCCAGGTACAGTAAATGCAGTCTTTAAGGACATTTTTTAACTGGCATTAGATTGCAAGCTATTAATGTTTTAGTTTAAATATCAGAGAATACAGATAAGTAGAGAGGTATCCTTACACCTTAAAAAAGACGATGATATTTGGTTGTAATTACTCTGTACTTGTATTTTGTCCTGTAAATAGAGAGACAGCGAACAGAAGAAGAGCTAAGAGAAATGGACAGTAACAATAAAATTACAGAGGATATGGTATGTGGCTGTTAACCTTGTAACTCCTATAAATGACCAAGACAGAATTCCTCCTAATAAAACAATATCAAGCAGACAAGTGATTAAAATAAAGAAAAGTATCAACTAGTCGATTAGTAGTTGATTCAAAACAAAATTCTCCAAACTTTAATCATGAGAATTGTATGGTAGACATTAAGAGAATTACTAACAAAATCTCGAGAGTGAAAGGGTTATGAATTAACTTTCATATCAAGTGAGTTGACACGATATCATTTTGCAGTTTTCTTACAGTTTGTTCAGTCATCAGTAGCTGCTTTGTGTTAACTTGTTCTATTTTCTTCTGTTTATTTTGCATCAAAACCAGAAATTAGTAACTAAAGCAATCTACTTTCAATTTAACCCTTTGACTTCTAAGAGTTACTGGCTTCTAATTTCTCCTCATAATATTATGTTAGAATCAAATGTAAAAAGGTTAGTAGAATAGAGGAAATGAACACCACTTTTAGAAGCTCGTGATTGTTAAACAAATTCTCCTTATCAGCACCATGGGAAATGTAAAGAGAACAGTGTGGAGAATATGAATACTGATGTTAGTGTGTAAAGGGTCAAGGGTAATGTAGTAAACTGAAGTTTCTATGCTACTACACTCAATTATTTTTCAGCTAAGACCAAAACATATGAGAGGTTTGTTTGCGTCATCATCCTTTGGTGAAGATGATGATGATGGCGAGAGTGATGTCAGTAGTGCCAGTGGTGTTGATGACAGCAGTGAGTCTGATGACCCTGATAGAATGTATGAAACAATTTATCATATTTATTTATTGATATTACTTTGTAGATACAATTACAGGATAAACAATGGAGGCCTTTAGACACTAAGATGGATATGTTGTGGTTCAATTTTATTCTTGGTTCAAATTTTACTTTCTTTTGTTTTTGGTATTGTAATGTATGATTATGAGTTTGAAACAAAGGAAAATAAAACTTGAACCAAGGATAAAATTGAACCACAACTGACACAACTGCAAGTTCTTGAGCTTGCAATTACAAATCTGAATTATTTTGAAGGGAAAATCACAGTTATTGTAGCCATCATGATACAACAACCCAACCCAACAACAAGTAACTGATAACAAGTTAGGGTTAATTTTGGTTTAGGGGAGGGGTAGGTGAACAGTCGCTCAGATACGGACATTGATCTGGAAGTTTCATGAAAATGGAGAATTTTTAAAATCAAGTTATCAAGTTGAACCTGTTAGAAGTTTCATAGTTATTCAATAAGGGAAAGGCTTGAGTATGGTTGTTAACAACAACAATGCAAACTTTGTTGCATGTAACAACAATAGTAAAGCTTCACAAGGTATTATATGTTTGCATTAAGTATTTTTCTTTGACCTTGAAATCAAATCTTTTGCTTACTGTTGAACTTGTTAAATACTCAAGGTTTCTTGTGAACAAAGACCTGCAAAATCCTCAGCATGTTTAATTTTATCTCTTTCATTTTATAGCAGAGGTGCAACTTTCATGCCTTCTTCATTTGGGGGTTTATTTGGATTTTCTTCTTTAATAAGGTTAGTTTAGAACTAATTAATTGTTTTTGGTTTTCACTATAATGGGTGAACAGATGGCATACAGTAGGTTATAAAAATAAGAAAATAGTACATGGCACAGAAAGAAGGTTGCAATAACACAGTAGTTTGAACCTGCACCAGGCCATGCAATTCTGAGTTATTTTTTGCATTGTAAAAAAACTACCTTTAACTTGAAGGATACTTCAAAATGTCACTATAAGACAAGAAAAAACTGTAGGAAAGGTAGGAATAAGCTAGGAAGGTGTAGGGAGGGTGAAGGATAAAGATGTGTTAAAAGGATCAACAACGGCAAACTTAAACTACATATAGTTCTTAATTTAAGTTTATTGTGAACACTCAGGTACTCCTTTAAGAAATGTAAGTTTGCATAACTGCTATGAAAACAGTCAAGCACCCTTTTTTCAGTTATCACATAAACTAAGCCATTTAGTTACATTTTCTTTTTAAGTTAACTGTTATGAATTTAACTCTTTTTATGAAGGTCTGTTCCAACAAACTGTCGACTCTGTCCTGGATACATTTCCCCAACCACTTTGACAGCTATGGCCAGTACAGCTAGTGAAGGTGAGTGCAAGTTAATGAACATGGCATCAGGAATGAGATAGATACAGGGTAGGTCAATGCTGTTACTTAATTTTCCATTGCTTAATAGGGTTGCTTGGAATTTTGGAAGATGTTCCAATGTTTATCCCATGAGATGAGAAGCAACAGGAATATAGACTTTGTACCATGTTTTAGAGGTGTAAAAAACTGAACTCTCACCAGATGTGCATGCAACACAGTTATACACAGTTGTATGTTTAGGGAAATCAGGTTGTCAAAAAAACTGGTTCTGAAGAGGCCCAGGCTTGAATCAATGCTCTAAACTCAGATACTTTTTTATATTCCCTGGTTGTAATCAAATGAATGCTGAATCTTGTTCTTCATATGAATTCTAGTTTACTAATCTTGTTGAAAGGTGCATCAACAAGTGTGACACCACCTGACTACACATGTACTCCTGATCAGATCCACATCCTATGTCAGTGCTGTCTTCAGCCAATGCCACACAGATGGCCTGATTCAATGACAGCAAGTATTCCTGCCCAGAAGTGTAAGTTTATCTTTGTTTGAGTTGTTGAGATGTGTAAATGTTCTCCCTCTCAGGCAGTAACAGGTAAAATTTTACTGCCTGCAGTACTGCTACCTATATATAATCCTGCATGGAGAATTGAGCTTCTCTAGTGTTCCATTAACAAATGTATCAGCTGTCTCCCACAGTGGTTAAACCTCGGCTCCCTAACATCAGTATCCTTATTCTCATTACTCTTCTCTACACATTTCATTTGGTACTGGCAAGGAGATTTTGTTTAACAATCAAAGCTTCTTAGATTGGTGTTCCTTTTTCTTTATTTTCATGATCCTAATGAATGATTCAGCAGTACCACTCTATGGAGAAACTAGGTGCTGCTTACTCCTAGTGTTCAAAGAGTCAACGTGTGTTTTTTGTGGGAATATTGTTTTAGGTTCAGTTTGTCAAAAGGCATTTTGCCATTTGCTATGGGGCTGTCATGGAAGTGGCTGTTTGGGATGTCTCAATAAATTCAAAGGTAAAGAAAGTAACCAAAATATGTTACGTCTAAATTAAAGTGTGTATTTATTTGTGTCCTAAATTCGAACCACATTGTTTGAAAGAAGTAAGACAGGCACATACTGGTACATGTATAGACTAGTGCATTAAAGTTTATTTCCCCAGACATTTGTTATTTATAGCCTTGTAATTATTATAATTATTATATTTTTAATTTGTGGCAGATTTCAATATTGGAGATAACACTTTCTTGGTAATAATCAACAACAATCCATATGAATCCAAAATACTTAAGGTAAGTTTTGAATAGTGCCATTATCCTTTAAAACAAGATGCATTTTTTTTAATCTTGCAGTTTATGAACCATGACTTGGTTTCAGCCCATGAAAATGCCAGGAGAACCACTTTTTTATTTTTCAGCAAATTTACCTGATGTGTAGTCTATGATATTGTCTTCTTTTTAAGTGATTCATTGTGTAATGTGTAATTTGCACAATGTAAGTAAATGAAGCAAAGAATTCTCTTTAGTGCTACCCTAAATTGTTTTTTTTAAACATTTTTCTCTTTGAGGGACTTTTCCTCATGAAAAGGTATTTTTCATAACAGTTATCCAACACCAGCTCCTTGACGAATCTTCAATAATGAGACTCAGGCTGGAAAATTTTTTACTCAATGAGTAAGAAATCTAACCCTTTCACTCCAAAATATAACAATCAATTCTCTGCATTTAATTAACGTTAATCCAATAATATCCCCTTGTTTAATTGGTCTTTCTTCTCAACACTTTGTACTTGAAATTGTAATGATATACTTAAGGAATATTCCCTTTTAGTCACACCTGTGAGTGAAAAGGCTAACACGTCAACATTTTCATTCTCGACAGGATTACTTAACCGAACAAAACATTTGTGAAAAAGACTTGTTACAGAAGTGTGTTCTAAAGCTGGACTCTAAAGAATACACGACAGTGGGTGGGTGGTACGTTTTGTTTTTGATCTGAAGTAGAAGTGTAGAAGTGTCTATTAAGGTGTAGGAGGGATCTTCTCGTGAGGGAGAGGAGGAGGGGCGGTGGGGGAGATGGGTGTCCAGCGCTAGCGACCATCTGGCGTTTGTAGGCAAGGGCTAAGTGCACTCCAGTCACTCCAGGATCCTTCTTCCCCCTCCCTCCTCCTTGCGGCTGTGCACTAGCTTAAAAGATGTTCTTGGGACTTAAAGCTTTTGCTTTCTTGTGCATTGCAGTCGATGTGAGACAGAAATCCATGGGAGACCAAGTTTGGTTCGGATTAGCGCAAGGTTCGAGTTAGCGCAGGTTAATGTTATTGGAAGTCAACTCAACTTAAACCTCAACACAAGTGAAGACTAAAGCATTCTTGGTTATTTTCTCCTATAGATGCAGCAAGCCATGATATCAACTCAGAAAGTGTGCTTTGTTACAGATGTGCATTGCGGAATTTCAAGGAGCTAGCGTATCAGTTTCGTCGTGACATACCAATGGATCAGCTACCAGGCAAGTATCCTAGGAGTCTGTCTTTATTTTTATCACTCTAATGATTACATGCAGGTGGGATTGGGAGACTCAAAGTTCGTTTACCAACAAAAAAAAAATTGGGACAAAGTTACAGAGACAAGATACCCATCGGTTAAACATATTCATAGGTGATAACATGATAAAAATGGACGGAGCAGTCTATAACACAGCATGAGATTTAGAGCGCTTTTCGATAGAGTGTCGTAAAATCAAAACCAAAGCTATCCAGACAACCGGCCAGAAGAAAGGAAAAAACCTCAAGAGCCAATCCCAGCGATAAAGACGAGGTTGGTTTTAGTTTTGCATATGATTGGTTGAGAGAATGGTGGGAGTTTTCTGGACCAATCACAAAGCGATCTCGGCTTACTCTCCACTCCCAATAGTAAATTGCGTTAATACACCGTCGAAGTACAAGCATGATCCATTAGCTGTCCAGTTGGAGCTGAAAACCAATTACGTTCTTGAATTTTGATATCGGTTTGATTACAGATGAAAACATTATGTTAAAGTCAAAGGTAACCCTTTGTGCGCATGTCCTTTCTGATCACAGAGACAGTGCATAGACGTGCTAATTGTTATTGGGGTAAACATTGCCGAACTCAGAGGACTAAACCACTTCATGCAAGGTAAGATTCTTGTTGGCAATAGTCATGCTAAGTTATGCTCTCGTTTCAGTGTCTGGTTGGAGGAAAAGTGTTGGTATTCAGCGTACTCTGTGTTCTTTTTGTTTTCAGTCGCTTCAATCACATTTGTGAACAGACAAGATTTACATAGCTGACATTATCTTTATCAGCAAGAAGTTTGCCCAACAGTTTGCTAGTAACTATTACAGTAAATAATGCATGGTGCATCATGGACCGCACTAATCAAAATACAAATATATCGCAGCATACTTTTTCAAACTGATATTGTCCTCGAAATACCTCATTTGTGTGTTATTTAATGTTTATTTGAATAAAAAAGAGATGAACAATTTTTACAAATTTGGTCAAAATTCCCTAAGTAATTATCAAATATGACAATGTTACATACTTATTTACAAAAGCTTTTAAAAATGATGTTCCAAAAATTAAAATATTTGTTCCTTAAGACATGGTTGCTCACAAAAGTTTTCAAAAGACGATGAAATATAACGAACTCAAAGTTACAGACAACGCCCGGCTTTGAAGGTATTAAGCAATTAGAGAGATTAAAGACTTGGTCGCCCGCATTGACGATGATCTGTGGAATGTTAAAAGAGAATCCTAGTCAATGTCATGATTTTAAGTCAAACAAAAGTACAGGTAGTACTACAGTTAACACAATGCTAAATTATTGACAGGTAAATTTTTGGCATTTAATTTACTGAACAGCACTACACTTACTTCCGTATATTGTGTTACTGGCAAAACACCTTACGAGATCTTGCGACAATGATTCAACTTAGGGAGCTTATAACATGCATTTTACAGTTTACTTATATTTTTCCACGGGAAACAGTGCTCGCCATAATAAGATGTAATGGGCGATGGTAAGGATATGGACACCTTAGACAGTTGAAAAAAAGTTGGGCGAGTACTTTGCAAAAGTACTAAAGCTGAAGGGTACACTGGCAATTCTAATTGTCTAACTGATTTGTCACGTATATTTCAGCACTTCGCACAGATGTGGACTGTTAAATATGTGCAATTGTATTTTACAAGTTCTCTTCTTCATACCCATCAGCTGGCTTAGTGGAGGCTTTTGAATTTGATTCAAAATTCTTCATGGCTTCAAGATCTTTTGCTTTGACCGGAAAGTTTTCAACTTCAAGACATCCAGCGTTTTCCAATAGAGTGTCAAACCATGATGGTTGAAGGTCAAAATAATCTTTGCCTAGATGAAAGATAAATGAAGTTTTGTTTCATGATGGCAAGGCAGAGAATTTCGTTTCCACATAAAGATACCTGAGATTTTTAGCTTACTGAACCAAAAGTGGATTAATTTCAGCGAGACATTTATTCTAAACCGCCGCAAAAACCGTAACCTTGAGCACTCGATAAGGGAGCAAGCTAACTCTTTTCAATTCAAGCTACCTCCTCCGAAAAAGGGTTGATCTGACTGGATAAGCCACGAGTCTTGAATACAGCAGAAATCTTAACAGTTTGAGCTTAAACAAAGTTGGAAGTAGGGATATGTATTGGTTTTTTTACGACTTTGGTTTTCTTGGAAAAGAAGTTCACCTCAATACCAGAGGAATCTGTGTTATATTTGGGTGATGTAACACCTCATTAAGTTGCTCATTTTATTAGAATCAGGCGAGTACATTGCAAAAGTAAAGTTGAAGGGTACATCGACAACTCTAATTGGCTTAATTGGTTCGTTACTCTTAGAATACAGTACTTCGCACAGATTTGGACCATCACTTATGAGAATCGTATTTTACAAGTTTCCCTCTACAAACCTTTCTTCTTGGCTTCAAGATCTTTTGCTTTAACTGGAACATTTTCAACTTCAAGACATCCAGCGTTTTTTGATAGAGTGTCAAACCACGATGGTTGATGGTCAAAATAATTTTTGCCTAGATAAAAAAAAATTAAAAAATCAAAGCCGATGTACGGAAGAACATGTTATCAATCGTAGGTATCTAGCTGTTTGTGACTCGTAAGACTACACTGCTTTCGCGCAGATCTGGACTGTGGAGGAATCGTATTTTTCCTTCGTCGTACCTTTAGCTTGCTCAGTGACGGCCCTCGAATTTGATTTAACATTCCTTAAGGCTTCAAGATCTTTTGCTGTAACTGGAAAGTTTTCAACTTTGAAACATCCACCGTTGTTGGATGGAGTGTCAAACCATGATGGTTGAAAGTCAAAGTAAACTTTGCCTGGTTGAGAAAAAAAAACGAAAAAAAGAAGACGAAGAAGAAATGAAAATCAAAGTGCATGGAAGAACTCTTAATATAATCAAAAGATTATTGAAAAGTTGCCAGAGTAAAATTGTTCTTCTTGTCTTGAGGATGGAAAATGGTATTTACAAGTTGTGCCTTTATAGAAATGGGAAACACTTTTAAGTCAGGCCCGTAAATGCTGATTTCGTTGATTTTGAGTATGTTTCATTTTCCTTAGCTTGTGAAAGAACCAATTTATTTTCAGTGATAGGTGATGTAGACCCCTCTTTCCTCTCTAATTACGTGCCCTAACGCTTTCCTGGAACATAAAATGAGTTCACAAAGACGAGGCCTTCGTATCAACCGCGTTGTCACCACTCAGTTGATACGACGCCATCCCACTTTGCATACTCACCATTAATCGTTTGTGGTTTGCTCCGGGACTCTTCAGCTTCTGTTTTATTCTTCATGACAGTAAAATTAAGGCCCCCTTCGAGCTCGGCAATGTTCTTCTTTGCCTCCTGTAGCTTTTCGTCTATTGATGCCATGTGCTTGACAAAATCAGATTGAGTTGTTTGCACTGTTTGTTTTAGCTGGGACAGTTTTTCTTTAAGATCAGCTATGTCTTTGTCATTTTCAAAGAGAGTTTGCTTAAGAAAGCCAATCTCCTTCTCTTTAGCTGTTAAAACAAATAAATGTTACAATTACTTATTATAAACGTTTGAACAAACTCAAGGTCTGAGTGATAAAGTTAACCGGGAAAACACCAAAGACGGAACTATGACGGAACGAGAAGCAGGAGGGAGGAGGGAGGGGGTAAACGACTTATTGTCAGTTGAGCATCGGCAACTCTTAGTAAAATGGCTTCCTAGTCCGCGCGCACTTTTCTTTTCATGCATGCGTGACCACATAAAACTAACCGTTAATCTCTGTTTCAAGGTAGATGATCTTCTGTGTTGCTTGTTCCTTTTCTCTTGCAGACTGGAAAAAAAAAATTGCCAAAAATGGTATCTTTTTTAATTAACGAAATAAAAAGAGAGCAAAAAAGCTGGGGTAAGAAACATTATCAACTTGCAATCCCGCGTGAAGATAGTGGAATGTCGAAGAGTGGCGTCATAATCTTGGAATTTCATTTGCGCGCGCTTTTTCATCTCTCCACGAAGAAAAAGTTTTTTAAACTCAGTTACCTGAACGCCTTTAATGCAGAAAAGTTCCAGTTGCGTTAAGTGTTTCGTCAATGTTGGACAGACTTTCAAATGAGCTACTTTTAGAGGGAACCGTTTTACAATTGAAATTAACCAATTACGACCTATTTTCACAGCTTCTGTATTGAGTCAGGTCTAGTTGCGCGTTTGTTGTGAAAATGACTTTAGCTTCTTTTTTTCATGCCCCTTCGGATAACAAATTGTAACTTCTAAAACAACTAAACGTACTTTTTTAGCGAAAAAAAGGAGGTGTAATGATAGGAAACGCCCACCTCATTAGCCATGATTCGTGCCCCGTGTAAGGCCTCCAAAGGCTCATGATAATTCTCAGCAGAACGATTTGTGACATTGACTTCTTCATCAAAGATCCCCGTAGAACAGGATTTCCTAACCAAGTCTATGTCACCTGACTTGTTTTTGTTCATTTTGTAACTGATATCTTCAATCAAACCATTCGATAAACAAGAAAAATGCATTCTCTTTCACGGTGCTTTAGCATGAACCGAGCTCTTGATGCGAAAGAAAGTTTTGATTTCTTTATGACTAGTTGCATGGAAACGTGTTTATGCCGTCACTTCATGACATCACGCCGGATTTAAAGCATTAGGTCTGGGCACTAGAGTTTTCTTGAAGCGTTATTACACCAGAGCTGGACATTAAAATGCTTTTATAACGTTAATGAATAACACGTAAAAATATCAACAGACGACGACATACATATAACTTCTCTCAGCAGAAGTGAAATAATATTATTGCGCGGAATTCCTAAGTCCAGAGCAAAATGTGCGAGCATTTGGTACATTGTTTAAAGAATGGCTACTCCGTGTTCAGAGTGCAAGCGATTACGAATGCAAAGACTCCGAAAACAAAGTAACTCCTTAGAACTTGAAGGGTAATGGCTTATCCGGCTAGCAATTTGAATTTTTGCCATTTTACAGCTAACGGTTGGTATCTTTGCATTGTTTTAAAGTGAAATTTTTATGGTTAACTTTTTTTAACGACTAACAGCTAAAATTCGCCGATTTCATACGCCTAACAGCTATTTTTTTTGCCGTTTTACTTCGATTAAGTGCCTTCCTCGCAATAATCGCCCCTTGTTTTTTAGGCCGAAATTTGAAGAAGCATCCGGGCACCTATTCGAGGAAACACGGTAACTAATTTAGTTTGACCAGAAACTCAGAAATGGCCCATAGCTTAAAACGAAAAGAATGCCAGTATTTATAGAAAAGTAAAAATTTGTAAGTGAAAACGAAGAAAGAGTTTCATCCTATGTCAGGGCCTGTCTACATAGAGGTGAGGGACCCCAGATTGGTGATGTAACCCACCTAGCAGATTCTATTTTACTGAAAGCAGAAAAGGGATAAGGGTTTGGCCTTTCTCTTCGACAAAGGTGAAGTTTTGTGAGAGTACGCTGAACATATCTTCGGACCGATTAAGCCTCCTGTACAGCTACGCGGGAATTGCTGCGTCCTTACGCAACCACTTCTTTTTTAAGGTCAGCGGGTTCAAATTCAAGTTTTTTAGGCATCTTTGAACTCTACCAACTAGCAACGAGATGGTTTTGTATTTGCTTGCTTCTGTTACCCTAAGTTGGATCCTACAACGCTATGGTGGCGTTTTCAGTCGTGTTTGTGCTCATGGACGTTCACCTTTAGGGCTTAATGCGTCTTGTTGTACTGGAATGTGTAGGTTTTAAAAGAACAGAGGAAGTCTGCGGCTTTCTTGCCATTAGCGTCAGACTTGCATCTTATATTAGACCAGTCATCATAGGTAAATAGTACTTTGTGCATAAGAGTAGTTTTTAGTCGACTGCTAGCCTTTGTTATTCGGAACGCTGCAAGACACACGCTTCTCCGCCTGCTGGAATATTTGAGACGAGTCGGGAAGAAGTTTGTTTTGCCTGGAGTCAAGCACTAATAATTAGGTTTAAATCATGCCTTGTTTATCTCATGCAAAGTACAGGGAAAAAAGTACGAAAAAACCATGCAGAATGGAAAATACTTTGTTTCTCAGGCTTTGTATTCAAACAATTACAACAACAACAAGAATATCAATTTATTCAAATAGTTGTTTTTTGATTGGGTTAGATGTCATTTCAGAACATAATACTCCTTTTATTTCTCTGCTTTGGCGCTCGGGTTTTTCGAGAAAGGCCCCGTGGCCCAATGGATAAGGCATCTGACTACGAATCAGGGGATTCCAGGTTCGAATCCTGGCGGGGTCGCTGTTATTTTATATTTTATAATAAACTTTTTATCCCCTGGATTTCTTTTATCATTTTAATCACCTTACACGAAGTTAGAAAACCAGATACTACGTGTGGGGCGTAGTTATGTTTGCTAGAGTAGCAGTGCTGCGTTTGCTATCAAAAAGTATGGAATGGTTATTCAATATTCTCCGGCTCCTATAATACGTCATCCTTTAGTAAAATGCAGCCACCCCCGGTTCAGTTATGATGCTTGTCACATTTGCTTGTTTTCCCAACTTATTATTGAAAATCAACTTGATGTAAACCTCAACAACTGGAGGCTAAGGCATTCCTGCTTATTTTCCTCTATAGATGCAGCATGCCATGATATCAACTCAGAATGCGTGCTCTGTTACAGATGTGCATTGCCGAATTTCAAAGAGCTATTGTATCAGTTTCGTCGTGTCATTCCTAGGGAACAGTTACTGGGCAAGTGTTCCAAGAGTCTGATTTTTTTATCCTGCCTGCATGTAATGATTACATGCAGGCAGGATTGGGAGACTCAGAGTTCGGTTACGAACTTAACAAAACTAGGACAAAACTAAAGTCAAGATACCCATCGGCTAAACGTATTCATAAGTGAAAGCAAAAGTTTTCAAAAGACGATGAAATATAACGAACTCAAAGTAACGAACAACGCCCGGCTTTGAAGTTATTGAGCAATTAGAAAGATAAAAGACTGGGTCGCCCGCATTGAAGATGATCTGTTGGATGAAAAAGAGAATCCGAGTTAATGTCACGATTTTAAGTCAAAGGAAAGTACAAGTAGTACTACCGTTAACACAACGCTACATATCAAACTCTTTCCCCAGTGCGACGAACATTTGTTTTTCTCGGTTCCAGGTGTACGCAACCACTAACCCCACGTAATGCGCATGCTTTCCGTTACGAATTTTCAAAATGGCGGACAGGCTAAAGAGGGAAATTTAAAAAATTTTTGCAATGAATATTCAACATACACCCTCGTTAGAAAGGTGAATCTACGGAAGAAAGATACAAAACTGTTGGTGGTATATATCTGGACCCTCATGGCCAGGGAAAGGCCTATGATTATCCTTTAAAGATGAAAGTTTACCTTGAAAACTCACCAAAGCATTTCGTTGTGCAAGCAAGGAAACTTCTTCAAGCACCTAAAATGCCCCTTGAGATGGTATCTCTCACAATTAATACTAAAGCATGCATTGAAGAATATTTACCAACTTAACTTTTAGCTAATTAATAATTTTTGTAACACCAACGAGGCATTGATATTTGGTTGATAGAGGTACTTTTAAAGAAGGATATATAGTTTTTACATTTGAATGTATTTAACACATAATACAACATGCTTGTCATCAATAACATTAAATTATGTTTTTATATGAAACTGAATGTGCTCAGAGGTGCTTTTAAGTTACCATTTTGATTGATATTTATTTCCCCTGGTTTTCAGCTCTTGAAAGGTAGCAGAATTTGAAGTGAATACAAGTCAAAGAGATGTAAAAGTCAAGCCAAATAGAAGTTGTGCAGCAATGCCTCCCCTGTTGTTAGTGAAGGAGAGAAATGAGTTGGGTTTTGTTCATTTTGCAGAGTCCTTTCTTCCTCTGTATTTCTTTGCAAATCCCTCATTTCATGTATCAGCTTTTGCGTTTCTTCCTCTAGATCATTAAAATTTTTCTTTCAGTCTGAAAGCTCATCTCTTGTGAGATGAAGGTCCCTTTCCGCTCCCTCAATAGACACTAGTTCACTGTATAGAATGCTTAAAGTGAGATATTTTGACTAAACCTGTTCCCTTTTTCTTCCTTTAGTTTGCCCATATTTGCTTGCCACAACTCTTGCTTCTCTTTCTAGCTTGCCTTGGATAGGGAAGCCTGTCTCTCAACTAACTCTAAACCATGATCTGGAAACCGTGGCATTAAGAAATTCAATATAATTATATTCATCCTGAACATTTTCATGCCATATCTTTAGTAATAGGTATGATATATTTACTGCCTGTTTAATATATGATAAAGTTGGATCTGGGACAAAGATTTTCCATTCATAGCTTCTCTGCATGTACCTTGAAATTACATCTGACATTGCTGTAATGTATTTTGGGTTTCTTATATTTTATGTGAAGGAAATCTGCATTTCTAAAATCAAATTTACAAGTGTGTAAATCTAGGCTTTCTATAACAAGTCCCAGTTCCTCGATGTATTAGAACGCACGTGTCTGATGAACGGTTCATTCAAATCTCCAGTTCTTTCAATGGTTATACAATCTGTGCCCACACAGCCGAATAAGCCAACTTACAAAGTTTGTTTTGGGAGAAAGAAAATGGAAGCCCGTCGTAAAGAAATTTTGCGCAAGACCACGGTGGTTTCTCGAACTCCACACACACTCACATCAGTCCATTTGCAGACGTATTTACAGGATAAAATTTGCCTTTTTAAAGTTCCCTTGGAACTTATTTCCTTCATGGGCGGAAGCCGCGAAATACACTAAAAGAAACTGCAACAACAGGAGAATGTTATGCGAGGTCGGGGAACCACTTTTTGTCATAAGACGC